AAAACATTTAAAAAAACATTATAAACGAGGCATTTGTTGCATCCAGTGTGGACATAATTACGGATTATAATGACTTATACTGTCTTTTTACACGTTGCGTAGCATCGCATCGCGCCACGTAAACATAAAACCATGTCTGCATTTGTGATCAAAGAAATTACAAACAACAAATGCTACTCTACACTGTTTAAAACTCGCGTTTGAATCAACAGTGGCAAATTCTTTAAATGTAAAAAACTTACTTACAGTCCGTGAGTCAGAACAGGCGGCATTGTAGTCTACTCTTCCAGTCGTGTCCTCTTTTGGAAGGCCAAACAAAGTAGTTTCGCTTCACAGCGTCACACACGGCGGGCTTGAGTGAGCGTAGGCCTGCGGGCTAGAGTGAGAAACAGCCGGCGGGCTAGAGTGAGCGGCGGCCGGCGGGCTTGAGAACGGCGTGGCCGGCGAATTCGACGAAGGAGTGGCCGGCGGTCTTGTGGCAACCACATGTGACGACCCCGGGCTGAACCACGGTGTAAACCGATCCGGCGATCCACAACGCGAAGTTGATGTATTTCCTCAGCGACCAGCACGGATCAGCTCTAGACATGACGAAGCGGATATCATCCTCTTTTGGAAGGCCAAACAAAGTAGTTTTGCTTTCACAGCGAAACACAGTGTCTCCACAACATGGCCGCGGCAGCAACAGCGAGAATAAAAGTTACGCCTTCTTTCTCTGTGTGACATGGATGATTTGGGCGGCCTTATTCAAATCTTCCCACAGAGCGACGTAGGTATGTGGGGGTGCGTTAGAACGAGCCGTTTTAGGTAGGCGTGGTTGACTCTTAACTTTTATAAAGAATATCTCTTTGGATTTGAAATTTTAGTCTTTGCAACTTTACAGATCTTCTTTATGCACCAAGAGCTTGTAACACTCCAAAGAGAAAGGAAAATTTTAAATCGCATCATATGACCCCTTTAATGTCTTTAAAAAATATATTTAATAGCTTTCTCTCCAATTTGCATCTTATACACTGCACAGTTGCCCAAGAATCCATTTTTTCTTGTTAGTCAGAGCATCAGTGTTGCAAATCCAATATTAGTCTGCATAATGCAGAATTTAAGGTCACATATATTGCATTAACAGAACTCTGGGTGTATGACGTGAGAAGTCAACACAATCACTGACATTGTCCAAGCGTATTGATGACTGTTGCTTTGCACAAAATGTCAACAGATATTTTCCTTAGCCTTTTTCATATATTCTCTTCCCACTCATAACACATTTGTTTCCATGTTTGCCAACGCCATTTTCCCTCTGTGCCCCCATCAGTCTGCTCACACATGTCCTGCTCAGGGTGCAGCCTCATCAGTCCCATGAACCCAAATCATGACCGACATGCCCGCGGTTTGGCCTGACAAGACTGATCAGCTGAACTCAGAGTGATTAGACTTGTCTGAGCCATGAGCACTACTGAAGACGGCTGACACAGGGAATCTGCTGTGCATGCATATATGCTTCAACACACACACAACCGCACCTATTTATAGCACTGCACGGCTGGAGAATCACCATATTAATGTAAACATGACAATGAGGTCATTTTCACTTGACCCTGAAGGAGGTGAATTAATATCTGTCATACAGTGAGACGATTAGACTTCAGATCAGGGCATGGTGTGAATGCAAAGGGGGTAACGGCAAAGTACAGGCGAAGTCATGCGACTTCATGGGATCAAATCAGTATGTCATGTTCACAGCTGCTTCACACATTAGCCTTAATGGGTTAAACTGGTGGAAATGGACTCAAAATAAATGTTGGTGGTTCAGGAAACACGACTTCCTGCATCTAAATGACCTTGAAATGGCCTAAAACACTAGTTTTTATCAACCACTCAGTTCAATGTGTGACTATCATCCTACTTGCTGAATTTACTAAGAATCTGTTGCCTAATAATCTGAAGAGAAGATGATATACTTGTTTCTTTAAATTACTAAATGCATACACTCTTAAAAAAAGGTGCTTCACGATGCCATAGAAGAACCTTTTTGTCTAAATGGTTCTATAAAGAACTTTTAACATCTGAAGAACCTTTCTGTTTCACAAAAGGTTCTTTGTGGTGAAAGAAGGTTCTTCAGATTATAAAAAGATAAGCAAGAGATGGTTCTTTATCGATCCTTTGACTGAATGGTTCTTTGTGGAACCAAAAATGGTTCTTCTATGGCATCGCTTGAAGAACCTTTTGAAGCACCTTTATTTTTAAGAGTGTAGTTCTTTTATGAAACTCTAGATGGCACAGACTGATAGGTTCTTAATGTAACTGATGATATTCGCAGCGTTAAACGACTTGGCACAAGCTGATTGGTTCATGTTGCATACGCAGCCAATGAGCTTGCTGCTTTACATTTAAATGGCTGGTTAGCATCCACTTGAGCATTTTGCAGCGTGCTTTCCCACCTTCCCCAGCTCCACCTGTACAGATCTGCTGCAGGTTATTTGATATGCTATTTGTGCAGCAGCAGAATGTCTTAAATACTCACAGCACTGCATCGCCGTATGCACAGTAGCAAGTTTCTGTACTTGCTTGCAGCAGTAACATTGTCATATCTATTACCATGCTAAAATCTTCAGGGAGTGGTCATGATAGATATTTTTTTCTTTTGGTAATATAAGGTCAATTATGTTCCATATGCCCATATCCTGAAAATATCAAACTGAACTGGAAGAAAAAAATAACTTGAAAGAAAAATAAACAAACAAATCCTTTGAACTTTGCTTTTTCATTTCATAGGTCTAGCATACACACACACATATTGTATTGTACACAGTGTAATATAGTATGATAAATAATATATAATATTATTTAATAATAATTAATTACATTTAATAATAATAAAATGTATCTGGGGTTGTGAATGTTCTAGCAATGAAACAAAATGGAAAATAAGTTGTATTATTTACTTTATATGGATATGCTTCGTTAAACCCCCTTCACCAAAAATGACAGTGTTAATTGCAGTTGCAAAAACAAAAACAAAAACAAAACAAAAAAGCGGGGAAAAAAAGAAAAGAATAGAAAAAGTCTGGTTGCTACGGTGACTGATAATCAAATAAAACTCAATTATCATAGGGAGTATGTTAGCCACAGTTGTCACAAAAATGACAATGAGAAATATTCTGAAAGCTTCATAAATGCCATTTCTCTGCATTTAAAAAAAGCTAGATGGATCACAAAATAATAGAACAAAACACAAGTGTCTCCAGGCACATTTTTAAAAGTCTTTCTTCACTTTTTTAATTGACATGGAGTCAGCAAGATGCTGAAAAAAGTGAGACTCCCATCTAGCAAGTTATATTAGAATTAAAAGCAGCATAGCTATACACATCTTTTTTTAACAGTTTTTTTTACAGTGATTGAAGGAAGTCCCATAGTATTTTATGATGATTTTACAGTAGTAATAATAGTATTTTTGAAGAAATCTTGTGCCATCCTAACTGACATCCTGCAGTTACACATGACAATCACTGCTCAGCACAATTTTATAATACTAATAATCGTCAGACTGTTCCGTGTTTTGTGTGTGATTTGCTTCCCATGTGTTTCCATGCCCTTTGGTTTTCCTTTTCCTGCTCCCTGATTGTTTCCCATTTGTTTCCAGCTGTGTTTTCCATCATGTTATTATGTTTCATTAGTTCCAGGTGTTTCTCGTCATGTCTTGTGTATTTAAAGTGTTCCCACTTCTTAGTTCTTCATCTGGTATTGTATATGTTTACCCTTGCTACGTGTGTTTTCCTGGTTCCCTGGATATGATTAAAGTCTAAATGTTTGAATTTGACTCTGCGTCTCCTCGTTCCTCGCTCTGTGCTCCTCACAGTAGCGAACCGTGACAGAATACCAGACCAAAACAGTAAGCGACGCCCCTTCTCCCCGTGTTTGTTTTTTCGTTTTGAAAGTATTTTGTTTTCCTGTGTGTTTCTCCCCCGCAGCATGGAAGTAGCCGCTCGTTTTATCAACCTAGCCCACAGAGATCTCCCCTTCGTGGAGTATGCGTTGGAGTTCAGCAAAATCAGTGCAAAAACAGCACTGGACGACGCCACACTTAACTCTCTGTTCTGGATCGGGGCCAATTGCTATCGCCCCGTGGACCTCCCAGACACCACAGGACTGAGCTAGAGAGAAGGGATCCTCCAGTGTCTGGAGAGCGTCCAGCCCCAGAGCTCGCTCCAGTGTCGGCTCCAGCCCCAGAGCCCGCTCCAGTGTCGGCTCCAGTCCCCGAGTCCAGCCCAGTGAGGGCTCCTGTCCCCGAGTCCAACCCAGTGAGGGCTCCTGTCCCCACGTCCAGTCCAAGGAGGGCTCCTGGTCCCACGTCCAGCCCAAGGAGGGCTCCTGGTCCCACGTCCAGCCCAAGGAGGGCTCCAGTTCCCACGTCCAGCCCAAGGAGGGCTCCAGTTCCCACGTCCAGCCCAAGAAGGGCTACAGTCCCCAAGTCAAGCCCAGGGAGGGCCACAGTTCTCGAATTAGGCCCACGGAGGCCCTCTAAAGACACCCCCCCAGGGGTTGGGGGGGGGGGGGGTAGTAGGGGTCCATCTGTGGAGGCCGGGCCGAGGGCCGAGGAGGGGGGAGTAATGTCAGACTCTGTTCCGTGTTTTGTGTGTGTTTTGCTCCCTATGTGTTCCCATGCCCATATTTGGTTTTCCTGTTCCTGCTCCCTGATTGTTTCCCATTTGTTTCCAGCTGTGTTTTCTCATGTTTTTATTTTTCATTAGTTCCAGGTGTTTCTCGTCATGTCTTGTGTATTTAAAGTGTTTCCAGTTCTTAGTTCTTTGTTTAGTAATGTATATGTCTACCCTTGCTACGTGTGTTTTCCTGGTTCCCTGGATATGATTAAAGTCTAAATGTTTGAATTTAACTCTACGTCTCTTCGTTCCTCGCTCCGTGCTCCTCACAGTAGCGAACCGTGACAATGTTTTTCGCTCATTCTCTGTGATGGTTTAAATGTACTTTATGTCTGTTTGCAGGAAAATGTCTCTGTTTCGATGGCTACATGAAGGACCCTGTGCATAAGCATCTGTGTATTCGAAACGAATGGGGCCCAAATCAGGGGTGAGTACCATACCATACAATCAGGGATCTGCCACCTTGAAGTTGGCTGTGCTTTTTATCTGTAGTAAAAATGTCTTCAGTGCCGAAAGCCAGCCAGGTGTTATGCACTGTAGGGAAATTAAATTGAGTTGTTTGAATTAATTAGCTTTTTTGCATGATGCTCTTCCTCTGGAATTGGAAAAGGGATTAGTGCGGTGAAGCTCTGGGTCATTTTAGATTTGCGTGACAGTGATTTACATTTCAGTATGCCAATGAGATACACGTATTGCGCATTTTAAATTGCGCTACACACCAGAAATTATGTATTTCGCCACTTGCGTGCCTCATATCCAAGTACTGCTATTAAAATGATCAAAGAGAAAATAACTATTTTGAAATTCTGCTGCACTTTTAGTTTCGCAACTTTTGTTGTTGCCCTCAGATATTTTAGCAGAGGATTGAATATAAGATTAACTGCATCTGGACAGATGGTATCTTTATTCTGAGGTAAAAATGTGAGTGTGTCTAACCAAAATGCTGCTTCTCAAGTCAACAGATACAGTAGATGAGTGAAGCACAAATACAAGAGAATGGCACAAAATGAGAGTGTTTTGCTTCTTAGCAGTCTAGATATAGTCAAAACACTTAAATGTTAGGAGCACAAGTTTCTAATCCCGGAAAGACTTGTATTTAAGATGTTTGAAGTTAATTAGACCCTCCCTGAGGAGAGTTTCACATGCTCATCTGGGTTTGAGTCTGTCGCTCTGGAGCAGTTTGATTAAGACTTGGAGGTGAGGAAATCCTTGGCATTTTAATTGGGAGGGAGATGGGAGTGATGACGGTTGGTGAGATAGATCCGATAATTAGAAATCAAATTGGAACAATCAGGAAGAGTGCCTTAGGGGAGTGGAATAGCGCTGGATGTGCATGTTCCCTTTGTGGCATGCTGTGAAGGTGTGAACAGTTTTTAATTGACTAACACTTAAGTGGAGGAGAAAGAATGTCCATTGCCAAATGCTTTTTAAAGTTTTAAAGTGCCAAGATATTTCCTAAACTGTTTCTTGTAAATGTTCATATACATACTGTATATACAAGTGAACAGTTCACTCCTCCCAAAAAATGAAAATGATGTTATCGTTTACCTTGTAAATGTGAATTAAACTGTCAGACATAAGTATTTTATTTTATTTTTAGATTTTGCACCTTTATTTTATTCCTCCTATGTAATGAATTCTCAGAATGCTTTTACTTTCTATATATAAAAGCTATTTATTTATTCTTTCACCTTCCTCTGTAATAAATTGTCAGTATGGTATTCTTTTCTTTTTTTTCTCTCTTGTATACCAAAAATGTTTTTAAAATTATTATTTTTTTTTAAGATTGTGGACCTTTCTGTGTAATGGATTCTCAGAATGCTTCTGCTTTTGGTTCTCTTATATGAATGCTGGTGGGACAAATGTTGATGTTTAAAACGCAGTAGGTGATATGTGGTGTGAAGTGGCCTAACCAGGCTGTGATTGCTCTTTTGCTGTGAGTAACAGCTTACTTAGAGAGGCATCAGCTTCTTGTCTTTTCTCTTATTCTGCAGTGACAGCCCCTATCCCCACAGCTGCCTCCCTGCATTAATCTCAGTTCACATAGAGCTTTGGATACACACACATTTGAAGTCACGCTCACGTCTATACTGCACTGACTGACGGAGATGCTGCTGTCAAAAACATCTGCTGGAGGAATTTCTGTGATATTTATGTTAGAAACATAATTGGTCTGATGTGAGTTCAAAAAGGAACTCCCCTTTTAAAAGATGGTTGTTTTCATCACAAAGTCATGCAATTTTAAAGGTCACATGGCTTTAGTGAAGACTGGAGCTGTTTAACAATGAATGAAGAGTCTATGGTGTGACAGTGTTTTTTTTGTTTGTTTTTTTTAAGCATGAATTATGTGTTTTGTTTTTGATTTATGCCCTTTCTGTTTTGCAGCCCATGGCCCTACACAATTTTCCAACGTGGCTTTGACTTGGTGATGGGAGAGCAGCCATCTGATCGCATTTTTAGGTAGGAAAGATCGCTTTATTTGTACTTTTTAGCTTGTGACCCAGTTCAAAATGAGAACTAAAAAGATATCTAAGTAGTGCGATGAACAATGTATACATACTGTAAAAACAGGACCAGTTAGTAGTAATTCCAAAAAAAAAAAAAAAGTTACTTCTGAGAAAACGGAACATTCTATTTTATATCACTGCATAAAATAAGCTTTAAAAAAAGGTGCTGACAAGTATGTAATGGGTTTCTGTTTAGACTGAGTAGCTTGTAAAATAGAGTACACTTATGTTGTCATTTTGGCTAAGCTGACATTTCTTTATTCAGCTTCAAAGAGCTCCTTTCACAGTTTAAATAAATGTACAAAGGCAGGGATTTAGACAATGTTTAGTCTATAACTGGAGACTCAAGACTAATCAGTGCATTGCTTTATGCACTGGAGATGTTTCAATCTGTGAGGTGTGCGTTTTGGAATATTTAGCAATGCTTATCCAATTGTAGCAACATATGGTTACCTTCAGTTGCCATGCACAATCTTAATGTTCTGAATTATTCATAGAGCTCATCCATGACATTCCGAAGTCCTTTGATTGTTCAACCCTAATTCGTTTGTACAAATCACAAGCAATTTATTTACAAATCGTATGAATCAATGTTCTTTCTCATTTGAAAACAACACGGGAGGGCATCTTGTAATTGGAATCGGAGTTATATCCCCAAAAGGTGTAAAATCTCATATCCCTTGGCTTTGGGCCACCAAACAAATACATTTCATTGGGACAATTAAATGTTTTATTTCCAAACAAACCTGCACAGACGTGAATGTTTGAGACGACTTGAATGAAAGATTTATTTTCAATTTCACACAGCTTTTCCTCATACATCATTGATTTGTGCCTTGAATGAATAGGAAAGGCCATAATCAATTTTGAATGCTTCACTTATTCATTTATATATCTAGCTTTCGATATCAGACTCGGAAATGATGTGACTGATATTTGTTAAACTTTTAAACTGGAACTATAAAATACAAGAATGAGAGCCGAAAATATGTTGTTATGGTGCAACTAACAGTCTGTATTTTTTAATCTGGAGTTTTTTTTCCCCGTTTTTTTTCAAACACTCTCTAATCTGATTTACTTTCCAATCGGCAAACCATTCAAAGATAGCTACTGTGTCTGTAAACATCTGGTGCAAACTTTGGTACACACATCAATATGTTGAATTCTGCTACTTGTAACAGAGCTGCTTATTATGGTTATTTCTTTACCATTCTGTTCTGAGGTTCCGTCTTTGTTTGTTATTGACTCAGTGTGCTGAGATATTTTAAAAGGTACCTTCACTTTTTTTGATGTGTTTTTCACTTTTAACTTCCACCTGCGACGAGGGAGTTTTATCCCTGCCTCAGTGTTTTGTTCGGTAATCCATTTACAAGTAATTTTCCTGCAAAACTCAATTGAAGCCGTTTCACACTAGCAGGCGACAATATTCAGATGTCAAGCTTCACATTACGTCCCCTTTTTCTTGAATCTGCATATTGCAAAACACTTGGGTGAGTTTTCAGCAAATCTGTGGTGTTCGACATTTTCTATTTGAGCTGTCATGGAATTCTGAAACGCATATGAGTATGGATTGCACTGACATTTCTGCCTCCAAGATTTGACAAGAAACTGTTACTTGAACAGATCAGTTTACCATTAACATCATATCTGACGAGGAAAAAAACGCTGTGTGCACATGAAATGATCCAGGTTTAATTTGATTTAATGTAAACGGTAGCTGATGATGGATGATATATTGACATAAATGAGCTTGTGGACTGATGAGCACAACTTGAAAAACAAGCTTGCTGTGTATTGCAGCATATTGTGGTCAGAATTCAGATGCAATTGCATTTTGCATTTTCTAGTAGTTTAAAATGTATGCATTAAATGCATATTTGTCTGTGCATTTTTTTTTTTTTTTCCCCACAAGTGGTGACAGTCCTCTTGTTATCGGTGTAAGAATTGTTCACAGGTATTTAACACATCTTGTGTAACAGATGTGTTAATAGGAATGGTCTTTCACGTGAAAATGCAAAGAAGATCCTTTTCATATGAAAATGTGCCATCTTTCCTGAAAAACGGCAAATATATTTTGATATGCATAATATATGTTGGTATTTCAGATGTTATTGAAAAGTAACTAATTTAAAGATGAGCATAGTATAATCTCTTTAAATATTTAAATATGAAATGTATCGTTATTTATATAGTTAGTGAAGAATATTGGTGTTGGTGCATTGCTGTCTGTGAGGTTTTAAATGTGAATTAAATGAGACTGTTAATAAATTGATTATATTTGGTCTTTTCCAGCATCTATTATTATTAGCCATGCATATACTGTGAGAGCACAACTACAATTGAAGAACCTGCATTTGAAACTACTTTAGGAAAATAAATAAATTAGGCGGTTGGTAGTGGCTTATTTATTCAAACATATAGGAAAAGATGCAAGTTTAATAGACTTAACTGTGATCAAGAAAAGCAATTTATTGCAGTGTATTAAACCGCAGCAGATGGAGAGCTCCATTTAGTACACGAGGAGGGTAATCTGAGGGTTATAGCTGCTTTTCTTTTTTTTTTTTTTCTTTTTTAAGAAGTTAATTCAGGGTTTCTTTTGTTAAGCATAGTATGTGATTCTTTTTCGACAGAAATTATTACTTAAGGTAGCATAACATTGATCAAAAGTGACTGTAAAGACTTAAATGTATAATTTTTCTATTAATCAAAGAACCCTAAAAATGTATCGTTTTCCACCAAATTATGAAACTTTTTTAACGTTGATAAAAATAAATGTTTCTTGCACACCAAATAATCCTATTAGAATGATTTCTGATGGATCACGTGACATTGAAGACTGGAGGAATGACTGCTGAAAATTCAGCTTTGCCTTCACAGGAATAATTTACATTTGAAAATATATTAAAATAGAAGACAGTAATAAATATTTCACCTTATTGCTTTTTACTGTATTTTGAGTATGTTTACTTGCATTATTTATTTATTATTATTATTTTAAATAAATGCAGCCTTGGTGAGCAGAAATGCCTTTTTTCAGAAATGTTAAATCATATTGATCCTAAACTTTTGAATGATAGTGTACATAAACAGCAACAGGAGCATAAATAAACCACAAACAGTAAAACAATACTCCTATAACGGTAACCACATAATTTATTCATGCCACAATGCGCACTGAGAGCTCATAAACCCTTAACAAATCAGCAACATTGTTAATTCTAAAGCGGTTTGCCTCAGTTAGCCTAGTTTGGACAACATTTAGATGAATATTGTCAGTCTAACAAGTGTTTTTATTATTATTATAATTTTTTTTTTTTTTTTTTACATATTCATCATGAGTCACTATTCTATTGTGACTAATGATAAAATATCATTATATTTGTACAGTGTAGGTTTAAATCAAATCTTCGCATGCATAATCCTGGAAAGCTAAAAGTGCTTCCAATAATGTAATCAGACAGTATTTTTTTTGCATAATGCATTTTATGCAAATAGAATTACCGGGGTGATTGTTTAGCTCATGTACATGCTGCTTTCTTGAGATGCATGGGTGGAATAAAATCATTTGAGTTTACAGGGGGAAAGTGAATGAATCAGCAAGTGATTGAATCATTCAAGTACATCCTGGCTATTCTTCACAGGAAAAAAAAAATACCTGTTCATATTCATGGCTTAGACTTTTTTCATTGTATGCAAGTCAATGCTGGACAAAACTGCGTTTAATTAAGTGTTATGACACCAAGTCGAAACCTCAGGATTTCAAAGTGAATTGAAGTGCAGTAAAACCGAGCTAGCTTGTAGATGTGCCAGTTTTCAATTACTCCCACAAACTCTTTGGACCTTCTGTTCTGGGCATTATTTTACAATGCTCAGTTGCTTTGTTTTTGTAGTCCTCTGGATATCCACCCACAAGTTGATCTTATCTGCCTGGACGTCTCTCAGCACTAAAACCAGGGGGGTGGGGGGAGATTTCAAGGTCAGATAAGCATTCCGGTAATGACTCAAGTTTTAAAATGCGCTACCGTTCCAGAGTGAAGGTCAAACTAAAAAATGTGGTTCTATTTGATTTTGCAGGGGAGAAGAGCAGCTATTTTTTTTTCCTGTCAACAATCAGTTTGAACCTTTTAGATGGATTTGTAAGAACACATTATTTGTTAAACACTTGCTCCACTGTGCAGAGGTGGATAAAATAAACCAAATTAATAGAAGTCTTTACATGCATGTGGGAGTCTCTCATGAGGATGTATGGATTTTTTTTTTCATGTCAAAAAACATTCAGTGAATATGAACATTAACGTGTCTTTTTTAAATGTGAAAATATGTCGTTCGTTGTTACCCTGGACACCACTATTGTTAGATTCCTACCCCGAATTTCATGAATCCTCGAGAAACTTTTACTTTCTTTTTTTGAATTGTAAAACTACTGTCATCCAAATGCCAATTGTATTGTCTCACAATGCAGCAGCCTGTAACAGGCTGAATGATGTAAAATGTTTTGTTTTTTTTGGTAACATGGTGAGAGGTTTTTGAAATATTCACTTTGCCTTTCTGTGTTTCAGATTCACATACACTCTTGGAGAAGGCATGTGGCTGCCACTTAGCAAAAGCTTTGTCATTCCTCCAGCTGAGCTGGCCATCAACCCCTCTGCAAAGTGCAAGACAGATATGACCGTCATGGAGGACGCAGTGGATGTCAGGTACTGTAGGAGATGATATTTTCAATCTTGGCTTGTTTCAAAAAAGAATAGCTGAGCATGATGACATATTGAAATGCATTATTTGATAGTTTGCCTAAAATTTTCAAAAAAAGTCCAAATAAAATAAACATTAGGGCTTATTTTAAGACCGATCCTTCAGCAGCCTTCCAGCCATCAGATTAATTTGTGATAATTGATCCTTCACTAAGCCACTAAATTGTTACCTAACATGGCAACTGTTGCCATCCACCATTTTATCATACATGTTTGTATTAGTCTTTGAAGGTCCATGGAGTTTAGAAAGTTTTAAATGGAATTTTACAGAAATTTATAATTTTTCCAAATCTTTAAATAAATCGTAAGAAATGCATGTTGCGTAACATCAGTAACCGCACCTGCGTTTGATCCAAGCTATAAAAATAAAATATTTACGTATTGATTTGAAACAAAATAAGGACGATAGTAAAGAGTTCATTCTTCACCACAGTAAATATGCTGTATGAACATCAGTTCACATAACTGTGCAATTTGACAATGTCTTTAAAGCTTATTTGAGAGAGTAACAGTAACCAAGGTGGGCAGAGCTTAGTGAAGGTTCACTCGTATGTGTTTTCCTTTTATATTATTTCTTCATAAACTTTGCAAAATAAAAAAATGAAAATAAAAAAAACAACTAAACACTCTAGAACAGTGGTTCTCTACTGGTTTGGCCTTGGGACCCACGTTTTCCCATGGTCATCAAGCCGCGACCCACTTACCATATATATGAAGAGTTAATTTGCAAAAAACGATAAACGGCACTTTAAAAAATAAAATAATAAATTGCCATTATTCTCCACATATAGCGCGATCTGAATCCTAAAAACGTTTTGTAAAAAAAGCCATCATGAACATACATGAACAACAATATCACATTAAACCACAGAAATTACAAAATGGCATTTCCCTTACATTCAACTCCACTTAGCAAAAGCTTTGTCATTCCTCCAGCTGAGCTGGCCATCAACCCCTCTGCAAAGTGCAAGACAGATATGACCGTCATGGAGGACGCAGTGGATGTCAGGTACTGTAGGAGATGATATTTTCAATCTTGGCTTGTTTCAAAAAAGAATAGCTGAGCATGATGACATATTGAAATGCATTATTTGATAGTTTGCCTAAAATTTTCAAAAAAAGTCCAAATAAAATAAACATTAGGGCTTATTTTAAGACCGATCCTTCAGCAGCCTTCCAGCCATCAGATTAATTTGTGATAATTGATCCTTCACTAAGCCACTAAATTGTTACCTAACATGGCAACTGTTGCCATCCACCATTTTATCATACATGTTTGTATTAGTCTTTGAAGGTCCATGGAGTTTAGAAAGTTTTAAATGGAATTTTACAGAAATTTATAATTTTTCCAAATCTTTAAATAAATCGTAAGAAATGCATGTTGCGTAACATCAGTAACCGCACCTGCGTTTGATCCAAGCTATAAAAATAAAATATTTACGTATTGATTTGAAACAAAATAAGGACGATAGTAAAGAGTTCATTCTTCACCACAGTAAATATGCTGTATGAACATCAGTTCACATAACTGTGCAATTTGACAATGTCTTTAAAGCTTATTTGAGAGAGTAACAGTAACCAAGGTGGGCAGAGCTTAGTGAAGGTTCACTCGTATGTGTTTTCCTTTTATATTATTTCTTCATAAACTTTGCAAAATAAAAAAATGAAAATAAAAAAAACAACTAAACACTCTAGAACAGTGGTTCTCTACTGGTTTGGCCTTGGGACCCACGTTTTCCCATGGTCATCAAGCCGCGACCCACTTACCATATATATGAAGAGTTAATTTGCAAAAAACGATAAACGGCACTTTAAAAAATAAAATAATAAATTGCCATTATTCTCCACATATAGCGCGATCTGAATCCTAAAAACGTTTTGTAAAAAAAGCCATCATGAACATACATGAACAACAATATCACATTAAACCACAGAAATTACAAAATGGCATTTCCCTTACATTCAACTTCCAAAAGTGCATTCATCTTTGCCATGTTACATTTAATTTAGTTGACTAGTGCTATACACTGTATTAACAAAAACATTAATGGCATAAATAAAAACACTTACACTGACAAGCTACGCAATATCGCGTTCATAATCGCAGATGAGTCATTTGATTATGAACATTTAATAATATTGCGTAGCTTGTCAGTGTAAGTGTTTATTTATGCCATTAATATAGCAGTGACCTACGGCTCTGTGTATTAAATGCCGCTCCATCTGAAAGCACGTGATTGAGATTTAATGTTCACAGAACCGGCTTTACTGACAAGATGCGCATGGCAATCGCATGCGATTTATTGTGCAGCCCTAATTTTTTTGTTTGTTGATCAAAGTACAAAATAGATGAGGAAAACTAGGATGCCAGGTGTATTCAAAGCGCCGCCATTACTGTATAGAGTGCGTGGAACAGTGCGCTGTGATTGGTTGTTACTGTTTACAGTGCGTGGAATGGTGCTCTGTGGTTGGTTGAGCGGATATATTGCATTCTGCAGAAAAGGGAGACTGGCGTTTGTCACGGTTTGGAAAAAAAGGGAGAAAACATGACAGAATAACTCTGTGGATATCGCATTTTGCGTAAAATTTTAAATTGACTTTTCAATACTGACCATATACAATACTGATTTTGGCGGAAACTCAGTTTTTCAAAAATGGCGTTTATCGCGTTTTGGAATCAAACTCTTCATATACATGCATGCATACATACATACATACACAGTGTGTGTGTATATATATATATATATATCTCATTTGTTAAAAAACAAAGCAAATTTATTTCACAAAAATTAAGTTAAGACCGTTAAGAATATGATTAATACTGAATAAACAGCCTATAAGGCAAGGCTATTAAATAGCAGTCCCAAACTACACTGAACAAAATTATAAACGCAACACTTTTGTTTTTGCCCTCATTTTTCATGAACTGAACTCAAAGATCTAAAACTTTTTCTATGTACACAAAAGGCCTATTTCTCTCAAATATTGTTCACAAATCTTGCTAAATCTGTGTTAGTGAGCTCTTCTCCTTTGCCGAGATAATCCATCCACCTCACAGGTGTAGCATATCAAGATGCTGATTAGACAGCATGATTATTGCACAGGTGTGCCTTAGGCTGGCCACAATAAAAGGCCACTCTAAAATGTGCAGTTTTATCACGCAGCACAATGCCACAGATGTCACAAATTTTGAGGGAGCATGCAATTGGCATGCTGACTGCAGCAATGTCCACCAGAGCTGTTGCCCGTGAATTGAATGTTCATTTCTCTACCATAAGCCGTCTCCAAAGGCGTTTCAATTATGCTGTCTAATCAGCATCTTGATAGGCCACACCTGTGAGGTGGATGGATTATTTCGGCAAAGGAGAAGTGCTCACTAACACAGATTTAGACAGATTTGTGAAAAATATTTGAGAAAAAGTCTTAGATCTTTGAGTTCAGCTCATGAAAAATGGGGGCAAAAACAAAAGTGTTGCGTTTATAATTTTGTTCTGTGTAGTTTGTTAATACAATTAAGTTGGTTTGAGCAAAGACTATAGAATACCCAAGACGTGTCACTCGTATAGTTTTGAAAAATGCAACACTTAATATGGCCGCTCAATCGCAGGAAGCCCCGCCTTCTGAAAGAGAGAGCCAATCGCAAAGCACGTCGCTGCAGCTGCTGTTAGAAGTCCCGGTTGCTATAGAAACAGTCAGCGTTCTGAGATGTGCGCTCAGGGGCCAGTTGCATAAACTTAGCCACCATGTTAAGACCTAGTAACTAGCAGTTGCCAAGGGGTAATCAGTCTTCCTTTTCCAATACAAATAAGAACAATCTACCTTTTCATAACTGAATTAAAAAAAGTCTTGAAGAAAAAAATTAGATGACTAGTCTAAACAGTTTATGCAACCGGCCCCAGGACTTCGCATGCACACTGGCTGATATAGCCTGAAAAATTAGCTTTTTATAACGCTATCTGAGCAAAAGAAACAACATTTATGACACAGTTGTTGTCAGATTTCATTGGTGATTTCAAATATAAAATTTAATCGTAAGCTTAGTGAACAGTTTTGGAGAATTTGATGTTTCCCCATTCAAAGTGATAGGAGCTGCACTTGCATGCCTGAGAGGCGTTTCAAAGATGTCCGCTGACTGACATGACTTGCCTTAAAGGGACTTTGGTTTGAGCCACCACAGTCATTTAAACATATAAAATGACACAAAGTGTCACATAGTATATAAATAACATGGTATGTTTGGGTTATGGAAACAACAGAGTTACCATGGTGAATATACAATACTAACATGAACTGTTAATGAAACGTGGAAACTGCTCCTGAATAGAATGAATATCATACCTTCATGCAAATCCTTCACAGCTAACACACGCAGTACCAGTTATGTGATTTATCGGTACTGTACTTTTATTTCACGCGTTGCATGCTTGTAGTTTCTGCGCTTTAGTGAAGTGATACAGCGCGGCGCCGCATTCGTGCGTGTTATTGAAGAGTGCGTGCTACGAGCATGGTGTAACATCTGGCAGGACAGGATATTTTGTTTTTCTGAGATGAGAGACTTTTTATTTCATAAGTTACGAAAATAATGATAGAATAATGACACTGACATAGTCTGTCAACATCTCATCTGACCGCAGATACTGAATCGGGACAGTGCATTTTTATCAGGCACTCTTTATTTAAACTACATCTGACAGAAGTGTCAACGGCTTTCATGCACGTCTTTTTAAAATAAAAGTCTTGCATCAGAAAAACATTAAGAATTAGAATCCAACTTTTTACCTCTAGGCAACTGAGCATAACAACTTACTGATCTAGGATGTCTTGGGTGTTTTTAGGTTGACTGGGTAATTGCAGTAAATTACAGGAACATGCCTGTTCAGTGCCTGTGGTTCCAGACTTTAAAGTAGCCTCTGTGTTTTCAACTCAACTGTCTTTAACTAAAGTAGATACAGTTAAAGGCTTTGTGAGTTAAATAAGGCTCTAAAACACTTGTCAAGATCCAGTTGTGTCTGTTATGTCATCCTGTAAATTTTAGTTCTTCAGAAATCCTGTTGAAATTCTTATTTTCAGTATTGAATATAATTGTGTAGCATCCATTGATTTAATTTAGCCGCTATACATGACATTGTTTGATTGTTATGACATTGTTTGATTGTTATTGTGTTCCTGTGGCTCAGTGGTAGAGCATTGTGTTAGTAGCGCAAAAGGTTGTGGGTTCAATTACCTAGGAACACACATACTGATTAAAAGAAGTATAGCCTGAATGCACTGGAAGTCGCTTTGGATAAAAGTGTCTGCTAAATGCATAAATGCAATGTTTGAATGGCACTTCTTGTGAGTTGTCAAATATGAGGATGATTTACTAGTAAAGAATTACACTGAGCCCCTTTATTGAACTACAACTCGTTAAAATTTCAGACCAAAAGAGGTGACTTGTATTTTTGTTTATTTATTTTTGTAAAGCCTCAAAATTGATGTGGCTTGACATTATCCAGACCTTGCAGGGGCTTTGAATGCATTGCCAAAGGGCACATGCTGATTTGATTAATTTGTTTTTAACCCAAAATTGATTCATTTTGTGATTAGTCTCTCACTGAATTATCATGGTAGCTGGTGCTTAAAGGAACTTTTAAATATTTCAGTGCTCAGGGCCTTAAAGGCAGTAAAATGGAAAAGTTACTTTTGGAAATTCAATTATAGATATGGTTTTGTTCATAAGAAATCATAAAGTTGGAAATAACCTATAAAACATGCTGCTGTTATCCTCAGAAAAAAAATCACTGTCTGATGTTAATTAAAAGAGACCTTGCTGTTAAAGTTGAATCTAGTTAGTAATTTCTGTCTCTAATTAACTTACTGTCCATATAACTAACACACACACACACACACACACACACACACACACATGCATACTGTACACACACTTTTTTTTTTTTTTTGTGGTTTTTCATTTGGCTGCTATTGTCTTTCCACTTTTTTATTTTTTTTAAAGACATGTTCATGGAGGTGTTATTTATATATAAATACCAATATACTGTATATGTGGTGAAAAGTAAAATTTTCTTTGCTCTATCTTAAATTTTATTCCTTTTGAAAGGTCCTCTAAGTGTGTCCTACTGATCTCTCGCAGAGTGACTAGTTTCGCAGGGTCCACCATACAAAATTTGGCAGGCCATATGGTCTCCTGTCCTTATGCTTGCTGAATATTGCCTCAGTTCCGAGTGTTTTTCAGAGCACTGGAATATTTCGAAGTAACTCTTACCATGGTAATAAATATTCGTCAAAGAGATAATGTACTGCCTGATCTTTAAAGGAACAGTTCACCCAAATATGAAAATGTTGTCATTTACTTTCTTCTGCAGGATATATAAGAAGTATCCCTACCCCTATCTGGGGTAACATTAGATGAACTGATGAAAGTAATTGATTAAATAATTTTCATTTCTGGGTGAACTATCCCATTTAAGGACTATTTAATTGAGTCATATATGTAAAACCCAAAGGGGTACCATTAAACCTAAAGAAGAAAAAAAGGAATTTATAACCTCAGCGGCACCGTTAATATGAGATATTAAATAATTTGGCTGGCTAGAATTTATTGACTTGGCATAGCCTACTTGTGAAAGTAGAGAGAAATTATATATTTAAGCATCATTACTTGCACTGATCATCTTTGACCACTTTTAAAGCTGTAATTATTCCTTAGAGAATTCAATTAGTATAATAACACGTTTTTATGATATTTTTAATGTCTGTGGACTGCAATTCCCCGCGCTAGCCAGAGCCTGCTTGTTTGGAAAATTACCATAGCTGTCGACTTCGTACATCACACAGTACATATTTGTTCATTTCAAGCACAGCAAACACATTTCACTACCATTGTGCAAGTGAACCAGTACACCGCTTCTACTCCCAGCAGCATAATCTGATCCAAGGAAAAGCAATCTTGGAACTGCACAGAACAATCAGTTTAGAGAGAATACAGTGTAGAGTAGACTATGTATTGGTGTCTATAAAGGAGATGTTTGGAATGTCATTGCATTTATGTTTCAGCAGGATTGTTCACCAGGGTTCTGTGAAAATAGGTGGTCTGCAGTAAGACCCCAGGGGGCCTGCCAAGTATTGTTTGAAATTTATGTCTAAAACTACATTTAAATGTAATGTACAATGACACAACTGACACACTAATGTACAGTTGATGTAAAGTACATCAACTGACAATATCAGTCTGGCTAATGCTGACAATTTTTCAGTGATTCTTTCTGCAGGTTACATAGTTTAGTTACACCAGTAGGTGTCGACATGTGACTCTTTAAGAGTGAGTCAGAGAATCATTAGGTCAGCTGATTCATTCGAACACAGTGATTCATTCAGGAATGAAACAAGTGACTGCCTTAATTAGTGAGACATTGATTCATTCAATTAAATGATTAATTAGTAACACCAAATAATTTACTATAGGAACAAATTAATCATTGAATTATTCACTCAACCAATTCATTCAAAAGTGTTGATTTATTTAGCCAAAGCAGCTCTGCTGTGACTTTGGAACTATTTTTGTTGGTGGAGGAAAAATGGACAAAGCAACATTGTGTCTAAAATGTAAGTTACTCAATATCAACTTGTTTATTGAGCTGTTTTACAAAAGCAAAACTAACCTGTTGTTGTTGTTATTATTATTATTAATATTGTTATTATGCAAAGCTGACTGCAACATCTCCAGTTACTATGAAGGTTTTAGGACTATATCACTGATTAGTGTTTTAACTTTTGATTAAAAAGTATTATGTATCACATTTGTCACAGAGTGAATCTTCTATTACTTGGATGGCCTTCTTTATTACAGTCTTAAGTGAAGGTTAATTTTAATTACTTCTTGCTGCTGTTGAAAAGAAGTGTTCAGTGTCTAGTCTGAAAATGCTTGCTTTGTATTTGGAGTTGAGCTACTAATTAGAGCTTCCACAAACTTTCTGTTCTAAGCCTTGCCAATTGAGATCCTTTGTTCACAGAGGTAGATTTGTCTCAATTTGTTCAAAGTGCCCTCATTACCGTGGAATGGGAGTCATTATATATTCTGCCTTATTACGATAACATCTTCCCCTAACGGCCATAACATCATGGCTTTAAAAAGTCTGCCTCCTCTTGTACTAGCAGTATTGTGCTAAGATTGGTGAGAGAGGGAACCTGAGGTGAGAACTGCAGTGTTTTTTTATTAAGTAAGGTTGACATTTCCTGAGAATCTCCAGTGATTATAGTTCACTGTGAAATGTGTGATGCTTGCGTTTTAATGTATTAATTTATTTTTAAATATGAGGAATCCTTGATCTTTTTAGCAGGATAGATACTTTTATTCCCTTCTTTATTTTTAACAATGTCCCCAGACATTCCATTCTGACCTCAACATTACAAGTGACGCATTTCATCATAGACTGTTGTGTGAATCTGAAGGATTAAGAAAACTAACAGCAGCAACGATAGACGGTTAAATCCTAATGGTGGAGAGAAGTGGAAAGTAGTCATGAAAAAGTTTTCAGGACATGCCTGAATGCATGATCTGAAAGTGTAGCCTCTAATTCCTTTTTTCTCTGTTTCTCTGTTTTTATATTTATGCATGCACTCATTTGATTGTCATTTGCATAATTTTTAAACACTGACAGACTGTGTCTCCACTTGGCTTTGAGACCGGATTCATTGGCCACTTCATAACAGAAAAATAGGAAAAACAAAACTTGGAACGTAAGGCAGTATTTCTGTCTTGAAGCCGAAATCACAGTAGCAGAACTATGAATCCATTTATCACAGCACTCCACTTCTCCAGCAGCCTGGTGATTTCACACTCTTAAAATATATTAGACAATAAAAGGTCACTGGTTTGCTCCTTCATCATGACCACTGCCCATTCATATTTCATAGTAATGATAAATATTTGGATGTTTCAAGTGCTCTAGAAAGGGAAAAAAATAAATAAATGTAACCCAATACAATTTTTCAGCCACACAGCTAAAACCAAGGTCAGAGCAATGGAGTTCATCTGTTCAAGGTTTAGCCTTCAGTGCTGTTGTTTACTTTTGCTGCTTTGGAAAGCTTTTCCCGTTAGCTGGATTTATGGTAGTGTAGTGAAGACACAATAGTCAGTTTTAGCTTTACGTTACTTGCCTCTTTGATATCCAGTTCTTTACTTTTTTTATGTATTGGATAAAGTGAATATAATGTAATATAATAAACAAGCAGATTATAGTTACATATTGTCCTAATGACGGCTAAAGATGCTAGAGGTTGTTTGCAGTATTGACCTGCCATTACTAACTGAGTTTTCTCTGCATCATTGTTCATCAGGGAGGAGCTGATGATTTCTTCGTCCTTTGACAGTCTAGAAGTGCTGCTCGACTCTTTTGGCCCGGTGCGCGACTGCTCAAAAGACAATGGAGGCTGCAGTCGAAATTTCCGTTGCATCTCTGATCGCAAATTGGACTCCACTGGCTGTGTGGTGAGTTGTCGTTGCCTGTCTTATTTTTAGGGTTGTGAATAAAAATAATAAAGCAAGTGTGTGTGTGTGTGTGTGTGTGTGTGTATGTGTATAGTAGTAAAAATTGAGAAAATCCCCCAAATGAAGAGAATTTATTTATTAATTCAATTTTATTATTATTTATTTTTTATTAATTTGCCTAAGACTTTAGAAGTCCATATATCATTAGTTTTATATTTATAGTATATAATAGTTATATTTCAGCATTGATAATTTAATGACTAATACTTTTTTTAATGATTTAATTACACATTTTTAATATTAATCTGACGGCTCCAGTTTTTTATTATTTTTTTTGTCTGTCACCCTTTGAAATCTATCTCCTTTCTTTTCTTTTTCTGCTGTCTTGTAATCTCTGTATTGATGCAGACTTCTGTTTAGTTGTTTACATACTGTCGTTGACTCAAAACAGAGATAAAAAGCCATTTTGACGCCTGTATCGCCATAAACTTTACAGTGTTTATACAAATTTGAAGAAAGAACACCCTCTTGTTCTCAATTTCAAAAAAAAAAACATTTACTTTTCTAAGTTAGGGCTTCCTTGTCTGCCGAAGGAGTTTGTCACTTACCATGAAAAATCGCATTTGTTTCTTCCATTTCTTTTTCTTTTACATCGCACTCACTCTCTCGTCCTCGCTTGTGGCTGTTAAGCAGCCATGAAATGAGCCAGGGGCTCTGATTTCACTCACCATCTGGCTGAGGTACGCTTAAAGTGTTTGATTTCTCACTCTGGCATGCACCATGATTAGTGTGTTTGGCTGGCCCTGCTGATGGGAGGATTGTTTCAGCCAGGGTTTATGAAAAGTGCTGTGTCTCATCCATCTTTCTGACACTCACTTCATTCATGATCTCCTGCTCATGTTTATGAACATGCGAATCAGGGTTTGTGCAGGTACATGTCTAACACAGACCTTATTAGATAACTATTCCTGTTCATTGTGATGTTTCATTTGAGAGATATATGCTTTGATTGTATTTTCTGAATACTGAATGACAATGGGTGCCATGCATCATTCTGATTGGTTTGGTATTTGTTTTGTTCTGTTTGGTTTGGTATTTGTTTGTTTGCTTTTTGTTTGTTTTACCAACTTAACATTTCTTTAAATCAGTGCAATACTTGTTGTTCTAGTTTTTATTTAGAATGCAAATGATGCGCAGAGTTAAACACCTGACTTAATATATGTATATTTTTAATAAACCAAACAAAACTGCAACTGAACTTGACAGTCAGTGGTCACCATGCTTTTGTTGTATTCAATGTGGAAAAATCATAGGAGCAAAATCAGGGTTGGCAGATCAAAAAGGGTTACAGTGTAGTGCACTGCTGACAAGCATACTATAATAATTTTAAAGTTTATAAAGTTCTGTTATTTTCAATCTGATGTAATGTTTTATTTTGTCCTAATAAATACAGCTCTTACGAATGTGAATGTATTTGTAAATATCTTATGTCTGTTTTGATGCAAGCATAAAATGACCCTTGCATCATATTTGTAGATTATATTAAACTGTACACGGTAATTTAATGAGTTTCTGTTTCTTGTTATACTCGTGAGAGGCTAAAGTAAATAAATTGTAAAGACAAATTTATGCCCCCACGGTGATGGAACAGCCAAATCAAAAGAATTACATTAGCATGTTTTCTAATAGTATTTGCAAGCATGCATTAAAACCAAAACATAATTTGGGGGAGGTATTCATAGGTCATTGTAGGTTGACAATAATTGATGAGGGGGAGGAGTCAGTAAATGATTGACAGATGAGGTCATTGAACCACAAAATTCTGCTGAGTCTTCTTTCTTGTATTTGCATACTGAATTGTGATTGATTGATCTCTTCTGTCTTGTCTCTATTTTCGTATATTATTTTGCTTCCTTGCGAGCACTTATATTTCCTTCAGGTAAAGCTGGACGGACAGCACCAAACCTGCTGTTAATGAAACAGATGTTATGGCCTTCTCAATATTTTACAGACATTTCAACTCTAAATTCATCCTGCTCTTCTTAATCATAACACACCCTTCTGTTGAGCCCGTAGCTTGATGTTTTGTAATTAACAGATGACTGAAGCTATAAAAATGATGCTTCAATCTGTCCAATCATAAGAGCTCGCTACGGGCCCCCCAGAGAGCCTCATTCCCCCCCTAATCAATTAACACCTTGTCTGAGGACAGCAGTGCTACTGCTGCTTCTGTGTTTTAATATCGCAGTCTGCGTGAGCGGGCTCGTTCCGATCTGCTCTGTCTAGCTGATGTATGGCACTCCTGGGGAGAGGAACAGTGCACTAGTTTGGAGATACTCTGATAATCGCTAAATGATGATGTGATTAATTAGTTCCTTTCCCTCCAGCACACTAGGTGTTGAGTGCTTTTGTGGGACATAGAGGGGTGCCCGTCATCAATCCAGCTATCCACATGAAAAACAAATTGGCTCCTCTCTAGATCTAAGCGAGCCTGCCAGACGTGTTCAACAGAGACTTTTTGATGTTGCTGACAAATGCTGGTACAGTAACTGTCTGTATGTGAATTAATTATGTGAATGTATGTGTTAGTAGTGTATAATATCAGAATGGCAATGAATTTCAATGCTATGCCGGTTTAATGCAAAACTCTTAATTAATAAAAAAAAGAGAATTGAATTGAAAAACTACCATTATTATTTTTTCCACCAAATATTTTATATGTATTTTTAAATAGATAAATAATAAAGACATACTGTACATTTTAAAACTCTTTTTATGTATATATTTCTCCATTAACTGCAACTTTTGCCTCAACAAACTACTCATTTACTGCTTATTAATTGTTAGTAGTACTAATAAACAGCCAATATGTTATTAATAGGCATGCTAATAAGCATAGTTAGTGAGAATTGGTCCCTATACTAAAGTGTTACCATACCTGTGTATATATACACACACTTTAGAGAATGGTAGCATCATTAATATTCAAACTAATAATTATTATTCGTAGTAATATTTACTATTACTATTTAATTTTACTATTAATTATATATTAAAATGTGCTATTATTTGAAATGTTTGAAATTGTTTATTTAAAAAAAAAAAAAAGTATTTCAAAAGTGTATGAGTATAAATAAGTATTACAGTATAACCTGACTGCTGAGAGCAAGTTTAAGTTGAGGTCATCCACTGGAGGTAGAGTTCTCTGTTTCTTACTGATGCATTCCATCTCTCTTTGACAGCCTGCTCACAATCTCCCCAAAAGCTGCTCTGTCTCCTATCATGTTCTGGCTGTTAAGCACTTCTGAGTTACTAGTCAATACTTGGCAAAGGTCTCCTGAGTGCAAACTCTGTGGGAGTGATCCAGATGCGCAGCAGGGAGGAAACGCCACTGTTTGTTTTTTAAATTTTCTTTTCCTTCCAGGATCAAAAGGTGGCTTTAAAGGACTGTGTCCATCTCTGTTACTATCTGCTATAGAGGGACAGTCAAGGCCAGCAGGAATACTTGGCCATGCTAATGTACCAAGCTACAGTCCCTAAAGCAAGATTTATAATATGATGGAACAATTAAGGTTGACCATTGGCATACTGAATCCCAAGAAAAATTATATTTGCAAAAAAACCTTGCCAGGAAGGTAACACTAATTTGTTAACTTTGTTATTAATTAAATGTAGTGCCATTTGTACAAATAATTGCTGCTGTAGTTTTGGCTATTTGAAAACGGGTTTGATTTAAACTTCTGAAATGTAATTTAAGCTTAATAAATGTAATTACACTGATTTGCTGATTGCTTTGTTGTAACAGTCAGCGTGCAGTGCAAAACTGTTAAAAAATAATGGCAATCTGTTGTTTCATTATCAGGGTGAAAATAACACTTTTTTTTTTTTTTTGTATATTCTATCAATGGACTTACAAACTACGTCAGTAAATTTTGATCCCTTGTGGTTTTCTGCATGGTTTTATGTGTCAAGAAACAAAGCACCTGACAGTCTTCCACACTGGCACAATTCAGCGCAGTTAATGTTAAATTGTATTCTCTCTCTCTCTCTCTCTCTCTCTCTCTCTCTCTCTCGTGTGTGTGATCTGATGTTTCTATAGCAACTGTTCACTTCAGTTTTCTTTACAGATGTGGTGCATGTCTGACTGATCAGAAGAAATGGACAGCACCTGAGTTAAATATATGAGCGTCACAGCAAAGGGTCTGAATACTTTGGATAAGTGTTTTGTCTTCTATTGTTCTCCCTTTTTTTATGGCTTTTTGGCAGTTTTTAGATTTACATAGCTTATCCGACAGTCTGAAAGGGATTTGTTCCTATATGACAAAATCACATGGGCAATTCTCTTAAGCGTTGGAAAGCTGTGGGACTAGATCCCCATTTGGAAACGAGATTAAAAGGCTCAGTAGTTCAGGGCTTTTTCAGTTTCTTGAATTTGTAAAACCTTCATGACTTCTCTGGCATGTCTCACCATGTCCTCTGTGCTACAAAGTGTTTTTCAATCAAGGGTGCTTTGAGCTCAGATAGAAGACTGCAATAATATTGAACTTTGGCTCAGGAATTGCATTATTCACTGTGAGACTGACAAAAAAATGTGCTGATTTTTAAATTTATTTTATTTATTATTATTATTGCATTGGACAAGCTATGTTCCAGCCGTTTTCATGTACACATTCTTTGGTAAGTCATTGTCTTCAAATTTGAGAAGTGCATTTTAAGTAATTATTATAAATTGCTAATTTCCTCACACTATTGCTTTGACTCATCCATTCTTTTTAAATCCATGGTCACAAAGAAAACATTGCAATAGAAGGTAGAATTAATCACCGTAAATATGTATTTGACCTCAGCTGGCACTGAGGCATTTCACATTTTAGCCCACTAAAAAGATAGCTAACTGACAAAATCAATACGGATGCATCCAGGGACAAGATGTGCTACTAAGATGCATTACCAACATCTGGGCTTTGATCCCTAATACGAATGAGGTCAAGTGAAAGGGTGGTGGTCAGAAAATGTGTTTTACACCTAACCTGCCACTGAAGAAACTGGGGAAGCGAGATGGTGAAGGGTATATCATGCTGTGATGGACTTATTTGTCATTTTCCTGTACTTTTTTTTTTTTTTTTACTCTCAAAACCTTGTATTAATAGCCTAAAAGTATTAGCAATTTAATTATAAGATAGGAAAAATAGTCTTTAGTTTCATTTTGTTAAGGAGCTATACAATTTTACTCTCTCTTAATGCGTTTTATTATAAAAGCTGCTTAATGCTTGAATCAACCCACTGTGAGCGAAAATTATGCCCTTTCAACCTGATTTTAATGATTTTCGAATAGAGAATGACTAATTGTAGAGAAGATTGTTCTTTTGTAGAAATTTCACTCAAAATACTGGAGAAATTCAATTGTTTTGCTTTCTCGTTACAAAATATGGATTCCTAGGAAACATTTCTGAACAGTTGCAGGCATGTTTCATGTAACCATCTTGAATCTACAGTATGGGCACCTGCCGCAATAAATGCATGACATGAAGCTTATAACTTAAGGTGTGAAGGCACATTTTATCCCATTTTCCAGGCAGGTAAAAATCAACCTGTCAAATCCCCTTTGAAGTCAAAAGCTGACAGAAAATATTGTGTGAACGTGGCATCACTAGCTTGGGGAAAAGACTGAAAACAGGCATGGAGTTGAGAAGGTAGAGTAACTTCAGTGTTAGGGGATGTTATTTTTAAAGGAGACCTATTATGCCCCATTTTACAAAATGTAATATAAGTCTCAGATGTCCCTAGAATGTGTCTGTGAAGTTTCAACTCAAAATACCCCACAGATCATTTATTGTATCATTTTGAAAATGCGTATTTGATTGGAAGCAGAAACATGCTGTTTTTGAGCATGTCTCTTTAAATGCAAATGAGCTGTTGCTCCCCGCACCTTTTCCAGAATAGGGCTGTGCTTTTACATCTCGTACCTCAGATACTCTGCTAAAAAAACAACAACAACAACGTCTGTTTGGTTTTGATTATGTCTATAGTGCTGAAATCATGCATTTTAAACCATATTAATTTAAATTTCTGATATATGGTTTTCTGAGTGCACACATCCGAAGCAAACACACAGAAAGCAGCTGTCACAGTATGTGAGTACTAAACGAAGTTCTCTTTCATGTCTTAATGTGCTTAAACTGTAAAATACACAAGTTTGTTAAGAACGCACGAGTTACAAAAACAGTTGGTTATGTCTGTGAAGGTAAACAGCTGGGAAAGAAATTGCATGTTTATATTAGATCTGTGTGGCAGCAGCGTAATACAGTAAATAAATCCGTAAATCCACTGCTCTCATGTCTCCTCTGAGGCTGGGACTCTAAACTGTGTGCTGTGCTCATCAGTGCAGCCAAAGACAGAACAGTTAGAATGGTTTGCTCGAACTTTTGCCATGGCATAGAACTGTTACACCATTGTCGTTTGCGAAAACACAATGGTAAATTTCACAAATAATCACAAAGAAATGTCAAGTAACAATTAAACATGAAATTCTGAAGTAGAAAGACTGAAATGGTATTTTTTTGTAAAACATACATCTTGTATTTAGTTTTATTTACAACTTTTTTTACAGTGTAGACTTACAGTATATCTGTTCTACTACCTATTTTACATCATGTCTAATGGTACTCTTGAAATGTTATTAATATTTGAAAACTTTGTTCCACCAATGATTATTTGTTGTAACACTTTTTGAGATTTTCCCCCTCTTTTTTTTGGTTGAAAGGTTTTAACATTAGTGGCTGTCAGTGGCATTGTGGGTGATTGAGTGATGAAGGTTTTAGACCAGCCTGCAATGTGTCCGGTTTTTTTTTATTATTTTTTTATTTTTATTTATTTTTTGCTTTCCTCCACAGGAACGTTTCTGTCACTATATACTGTATCTGTTGAATACAAAGATTTGAGCAACCTCAGATTGGCTCTTTTTTCTTTTGATAATGGTAAACTGGGGGTTCTACTGCGTATAGTACAGTAGCTGAAACACTCAACAAAACATTCAGGACCTTTTACATTGCTTTTTAAAAACAACACTACTAGCAAAAACTAGATTTCAAATCTTAAGCACAATTTAACATGGAAACCCAAACACAATAGTACAACACACTGTAACACATGCATTAGCAGCTTATTTATTATTGCGAATATGCTGAAATTGCCACATACCAAAGATAAAGGGGTATTATGATAGATCAGAGAATGTTTAAAAGTCTTTTTTATTTATTTATCTCCCCCCCAGTGTCCTCCTGGTTTGAGCCCGATGAAGGATGGCACCGGTTGCTATGACCACCACATTGGCATTGACTGCTCTGACGGCTTTAATGGGGGCTGCGAACAGCTGTGCCTTCAGCAGCTGGCACCTCTGGAGGAGGACCCTACTCTCTACAACATCCTGATGTTCTGCGGGTGAGATTACACACTCTACACACACATACAGACTGTATGATAACTAGATCTGGACATGTTATCAGGGCTTTCTCAACCATGTTTTTTTCTTTCATGCTTTTTTAAAACAGCAGGGTACGTGCTGGTATTTACACCTGATATTTTTTTGAAGACTTTCTGATGTTTTCTGTTGAATAATTATCAGAAATTCACAGTTAGTGCATTATGGTTAGTTCAGCTGATTATTCATGTAGTTCACACACAGCACCTCACAGTT